GCACTCTGCACACTCGCCCCCGGCTTGATGGGCATGACATCGTGCGTGTGAGAGGCTGACACTCCAGAGGGCACAGGGACGGGGTCTGCTCTCCCTCCCTCCAGACTTCTCGCTGTGCGCCCCTCTTGTTCTTCCCGGGCCGGAGGTTCGGGTGTGAGCAGGCCCCCGGAGCATCCTGGGAGGGGCTGGGGGGGCTTAGCTCCCATCTCCGTCTCCTCCTCAGAGAGCCCTGAGCAGGTGGTTGCCTTTGATGTTTATCTGGTTGGTTCCACACAGGAATGCAAAGTGTTGCGAAGGCTGGATTTCCATCTCAGGGCAGTGCAGGCCGGAGCAGGCTGTCGGGGAGGTGGCAGTGTGGTGCGGTCCGCGCCCCGGCCTGGAAGTGGGGCTGCCATCGCCAGACCTGCTCCGTGTGTCCCCCAGTGGTGAGAGGTCTGCCCGCATCTCTCTGCTGTGGGAAAGGCAGCCCGGCGGCCGGCCAGCCGTGACGGGATCGACGCCGAAGGAGGCTGTGTCCTCAGTGTTGTCACCGCACTCAGAACCGCCCACGGCCAGGAAGGACATGGATGACAGCTCTGTGTGGCTCAGGTCCCGAGACCAGCAGGGCCAGGTGGCTGCACATGGCCGTGGGACGCAGAAGTCTCCTCTGGGCGCGCCCAGTGTGGGGTTGCTTGTATTCTTAGAGAGGGCATTTTCCAGGGTTACACTTGGTCACCAGACACTTAAACAGGGGGACAGTCCTGGGCACGGAGAGGGCCGGGGTGCTTCCCAGACTGCACTGTGGGGGCCACTCCGATGACCAGGCCCTGTTGCTTCCGCCTCCTCCTCGCTGTCCGCGTAGATGCTCCTGGCGTCAGTGGGGATACCTGCAGGGCTCGCCCACATTCAAGGCCCAGGCTGGGACACGGTCCACCTTGTGAGTGTTGATGCAAAGAACTCAGTCCCTGTAGTGTCCACGGAGCTGAGGAGCCAGCAGGAGGCACCGAGGGCCCGGACAGCAGGACAGGACCACCAGTCTGGGACCCGCAGGACGATCTGCCTCACACCTCTCAGGCAGATGTGTGTGCGCCTCCTGCTTTCTCGAGACAAAGTCCCAGAGAAACCCAGCCCTTCCTTTAGCTCGTCCTGCCGTCTAATCAGATCTGTCGATAAACACGGATGGATTCCAGTTTTTCTCCTCCCCGCTCTCACGTTCCCAGGTGGCCATTACCTGTTATCTGTGTGGGATTGTGTTCCCACCTCCCCGCCTGCAGCTGTAGGCGAACATTTTAATTAAAGGGCAGGAGGGCCAGGAGATAGCGGCCCTCCTGTGCCCGGGTCTCAGCGGGGGCGGCAGCGTTCAGGGGCGAATGATGTCGCGTCCCGGGGTTCACAGGAGCATCGCTGCAAACCATCCTGGTGCTTCGTCAGGCAAGTGCTTATCTCCACGTCCAGGCGGAGGCGGGCCTCACACCCAGCTGGAGCCTTGGTGACTCTTCTGGCGGGAAGCCAATCAGACAAAACCCAGGGCACCGTCCCACTCCCTCGGATGGGAGTTTTCTCAGAAAGCTGAGTCAGCTTTCCCCTGGGGTCCTGCAGGGTAGAGTTTTCTCAGAGACCCTGGGTTCTGGCTAAAATGCAGCCACATGCTTTGGCTGGTGCTCAGTGGTTAGAGCATTGGCCCACAGACCGAAGGGTCTCGGGTTCAATTCCCGGTCAAGGGCACATGCCTCGGTTGCAGGTTTGATCCCCAGCCCCAGGTTCAGTCGCGGTCAGGGTGCATGTGGGAGCCAACGAATCGATGTGTCTCTCTCACACAGATATTTCTCTCTCCCCCTACCCCCCTCCCTTCCACTCTCTCTAAAAATCAATGGGAAAAATATCCTCAGGTGAGGAAGAACAAAGCCAGCCCCACCCTTTGCTGCAAAGCCCTTATCCTCAGGCACGTGACCTTCAGATGTGTAGTCCTTTCTGGATGACCGATGCCTTCACTGGCATCAGCCCATGTGCTCCTCTCAGCGGCCACGCGGATTGGTTGGTGTTGTCTCCGCATCACAGGCCAGGAGAGGGGAAACGGCTGAAGCCGGGTCCGGCCTGGAAGGCAGCCCTCGGTGCTGTTTCTACTGTGTGCCACGGATGCCTCCTCTTAGCGAGGCTTGGTTTTCAGGAGGCTGAGCGTTGGCAGGAAACACTGCATGAAAAACAGAGAGTAGCATTGCTTTCTGGTCTAAGTCCCTAAGGAAAGCTATGCCGAGCCCCGTCCTGGCCCACTTTCTGTGACGGTACCTTTGTGGTGGGTCCTTGGGGGGAGGGCGGGGCAGCCACACACAAGGGACGCACGGCTTGGCCTCCCCAACAGACTTGGACGTGGGAGCTCACGGTGCTGCCAGTACTGAGTGTGGGCGCCCTCCCGCTCCACCTCTAGTTACCTGTTGGCAGTTCCTCTTCTCTGCTCCTGCCCTGTCCTCCCAGGGCCAAGCAGGTGATTGGTTATAGGTTGCGGGACACAGGGGCGATCTAGCCGGCCTGGGGTAGACGGGTGGGTGGAAGGAAGAGGAGAAATCAGCGCTAACTCACGTCTGCAGCAGCTTCTCCACATGCGCGCTGCCCCGGGCGGGTGTCGCCCTGACCTGTGGAGTAGGAGAGCCCAGCGTCCCTCACACAGGGCCAGTGGTTCTCACCCTTCCTAATGCCGCGACCCTTTAATGCAGTTCCTCCTGTTGTGGTGACCCCCAACCATAACATTATTTTCATTGCTACTTCATAACTGTAATTTTGCTACTGTTATGAATCATCATGTAAATATCTGACATGCAGGATGTATTTGCATTGTTACAAGTTGAACATAATTAAAGCATAGTGATTAATCACAAAAACAATATGTAATTATATATGTGCTTTCCGAGGGGTCGGGTCTTAGGCGACCCCTGTGAAAGGGTCGTTCGACCCACAAAGGGGTTGTGACCTACAGGTTGAGAACCGCTGCACAGGGCCACGAGGCCCGGGGACACTGCCCTCGGCCCCGGGGAACCTGAAGCCACACATGCTCTTCCCCCCCTTAGCTCTGCGGCCGTCGGTAAATGTCTTGACCACTTTGAGGTCCCCAGTTTCCTCTTCCATAAACTGGGGAAAATAGGAAAGTTCCGTGTGGCCGAAACAAATCCCAGTTATAACTGACTCCTTTCTCAGCCACTGGCTGGATGGGTTATGGCTAATGTCACAGCCCGGGCGGGGCACGGCCATAGGACTTGGTTTCCTCTCGAATCCTGGAGACAAACGTGCCGTTACCCCTGGGCGCTGTGGTTTACCTGCTTCAGAAGAGGACCTGCTCATTCAACGAAGACGCTTTGCATTAATCTTGCCCCCCCCCCCTTTTTTTCAGTTTACAGACAGGGCGGTCCCGAGACCTGAGTGGCCTTATTTATTGTTGGGGCCCATTGGGTGTTCACAGCGGGCTCCCTCTCTCCTGCCCACACGCTCCCTCTCGTCCCACCCCGTCCTCCTCACCCCTCACCTTAGCCCGGCCTTGCCCCTTACCTGCCTTCCGCCTCTGAGATCTTGTTCACATCCGTGTGCCAGTCATTGGCACTCGGTGGGCACTCATAACCCACACTTGCCCGTGAATGGAGGCGGGAGGCTGGTTACCGGGTTTTCACGATGTCGGCGTCCGTAGGAGGCTTGCGGGATGGTGAGCACTGAGCCTTCGCAGAGTTGGCTCTGTGACGAGGACACTCTTCAGTGCTTTCCTGGCAGCCAGACCTCGGCATCAGAACAGGGGTGCTGGCATTGACGTGGGCGTAGCATTTAAATGGCTAAAACCTGAATGAGCCCCCCCACCTCCCACACACACCTAAAGGGACGGCCTTTCTCCCCGCTCTGGAAGAAGTTAATGACATTTACGGGCCTGGATGAGCTCTGAAGCTTCATTTCTGATTTTAATAGCATGTATTCATTTAATGGCAGAAGCCACAATCAAATCCAGGGAAGAGTGAATGAATAGGAAATCGATAAGGATGTGTGTGTGTGTGTGTGTGCGCGCGCGCTGTGAGCACACATGCTTTTCCAGGCCTCAGGGCCTCATCTGCAAAATAAGATTTACACGGGAGGACACCTGTTTCCTTCAGGGATCGGATGGGTTGTCACGGGAAGGAAGCGGTGGGTGGGCCTTAGAGAAAGGTCACTTCAGGGAGAGTGCATTTTCCCTTCAGGCAGAGCGGAGAGAGTTGGACTAGGTGGCCTGTGATTTCTTCGATTCTGTGACTCTGCTCGGGTGAACACGGACATTCCCGTCACTGCGTGTGGAATACAGTTTTGTGATTCCTGGGAGTGGAGAGTGGGTCCTGCTTTTCTGCCCTGAGGCGGCATGAACAGTCTAGCCGCCAGCCAGCCCCACCCTTTGCTGCAAAGCCCTTATCCTCAGGCACGTGACCTTCAGATGTGTAGTCCTTTCTGGATGACCGATGCCTTCACTGGCATCAGCCCATGTGCTCCTCTCAGCGGCCACGCGGATTGGTTGGTGTTGTCTCCGCATCACAGGCCAGGAGAGGGGAAACGGCTGAAGCCGGGTCCGGCCTGGAAGGCAGCCCTCGGTGCTGTTTCTACTGTGTGCCACGGATGCCTCCTCTTAGCGAGGCTTGGTTTTCAGGAGGCTGCCCTCGGCCCCGGGGAACCTGAAGCCACACCATGCTCTTCCCCCCCTTAGCTCTGCGGCCGTCGGTAAATGTCTCGACCATTTTGAGGTCCCCAGTTTCCTCTTCCGTAAACTGGGGAAAATAGGAAAGTTCCGTGTGGCCGAAACAAATCCCAGTTACAGCTGACTCCTTTCTCAGCCACTGGCTGGATGGGTTATGGCTAATGTCACAGCCCGGGCGGGGCACGGCCACAGGACTTGGTTTCCTCTAGAATCCTGGAGACAATTCTGTGCGGTTACCCCTGGGCCCTGTGGTTTACCTGCTTCAGAAGAGGACCTGCTCATTCAACGAAGACACTTTGCATTAATCTTGCCCCCCCTTTTTTTTCAGTATCCAGCGAGCAGCACTGGTGGTTCTGGAAAACTACTATAAGGATTTCACCATCTATAACCCCAACCTCCTAACGGCCTCCAAATTCCGAGCAGCCAAGCACATGGCGGGGCTGAAAGTCTACAACGTGGATGGTACGTGCCTGGAACGGTGGCTCTGGGAGTGTCGGGGGGCAGTTGGGGCACCTTCCTGGCCCATCTGGTTCAACCTCCTCTCTATGTTTGCCTTTGTGGTCCATTCTCATTTCAGAACAACTCTCTCTCTAAATCTCTCTCTCTCTCTCTCTCAAAGGGCCCCGCTCTCTCTCTCTCTCTCTTCCCCTCCCCCCCAAACATTTTATGAGGAATGTTGCTTTATGATCTACATCTGTGGGAAGTTCATTCATTTTGGGATTTTTATGATTGAAAACAATGGTGATGTGTGTGTTTCCTGTCTCCTGCTGGGAACACCTTCCATTAAATAAAGCTATTAGGAAAGGGCTGCTTTTCAAAATGTGGATAAAGCACCCAAAGCAAAGACTCAGCCACCCAGACCCGTGAAGACTCTGTAACTGTCAGTAGTTCAGGCCTCTGGCGAGACACTTCGGGCATTCCTCAGCCCTGGCCAGAAGCCGGAGTGAGCGGGTGGCGGGAGGCCAGAGGCCAGGCTGGGGCGCCAGCGCGAGCTCCTCCGGGCTATCAGATGCTTCGGCGCAAGAAACAGGACACGGTGTCATGTCTTGCTGGGCCGCTCGGGTCAGGGCGAGAGCTTTGCAAACCCTCCAAGAGGATCATGTTGTTAGCAAGTCAAGTGATTTATAGGTGGTGTCAGTTTCGGTGGTGATGTAACATCCTCCGCCTTTTTAAATGGTGCTTTATTATTATTTTTGGCTAATGAGATGTGCACGCTCTCACGAATCCTGAAGGATTGGTCCCTTTCGCCTGTGACCTGGAAACAGCGAAAATTCCCACTAGCAAAACTAGTCATCGACCACGTAGGTGAAACTCGAGAAAGCGTGAGGTGCCTTGTCTTCCTGACAAGTCGAGGCGGCCAGTGGTCAGAGGAGCGAGACCAGGACTTCTGAGTCCGGAGGATCATGGAGGCCGTTTCACAAATCCTCACACATCATGGGCTTTTCTGTGAAAGCTGGGCTGCCGTGAGATCCCAGCAGTGAGGTCCCAGCAGTGAGGTCCCAGCAGGGCCGTGTTCCTGTGTGTGGTCGGTGTCACTTGTCCTGGACTTCACTCTCTGTCCTGTCCTCCCCTCCCTCTCTCTCTCCCTCCTTGTCCTGTTGCTGAACTGTGACGTTACGGCCGCCCTCGCGGCCAAGCGGGCCGTCCTGTGACAGATGGTAAGTAACATCTTCACACTCCGTGTTACTGTTGGCCATCGTCTTAATTGCCACGCATTCTTCATCTCCTTCCGAGTTCCTTTTCCCTTTGCACCAAGCAGATTGGGCCTCGGGAAGGTGCCTTCCCCTCGTGAGCAGAGTGAAGAGAAGCAGGGGGACCGTTCCCCCTCGTGGGGAGTCGCTTTGGGGATCTGTGTCTATGCTTCACAGGGGATGGTGGGCGGTCCCGACAGACTGTGGTACCAGCATTCTGCTCCGCTTGGCAGTCCCGTGGCATTAAAACTGCGTTTCCTGCACCATCTTTCCCCCAAAGGCCCCAGTAACAACGCCACCGGCCAGTCCCGGGCCATGATCGCCGCTGCCGCTCGGCGCAGGGACTCGAGCCACAACGAGCTGTATTACGAGGAGGCGGAGCACGAGCGGCGGGTGAAGAAGCGGAGAGCGAGGTACAGCGTCCCCCGGAGCGAAATCTCACTCTGAACACGACCTGCATGGGCCTCGGGAGTGATCGTGCCGGGGCGTTTCCCAAACTCCTCGTGCACAAGCGTCACCCGGGGGCTCATAGCACAGGCCTCCAGCCCCACCCACGTAGTCACTTACTATTCAGCAGCTCTGGGCCCAGGAACCGGCGTTTCTTACCAGTTCCCGGCCGATGCTGAGCTGCTGGCCCACAGCCTGCACTTCGAGTGGCCCCATCCTGCACCCCAGGCCCCCGCTATTTCTCTAGATCTTATCCTATGAACTGAGAGGGACAGAGGTGGTCCCACTGTGTGTGCGGGGCCTCTTCCTTCCTTCCCCCGGGGCTGCTGCGTGGCGGCAGGATCAACGGGGATCAGCCCGGCTCTTTGTAAGCGGCTTCGGCTCCACCAGCCCCGCTCAGAGGCGGAGGGGCCTTAGCATGCGTTTCCCTCCGCTGTCCAGATGGAGCGAGTCTCCCAAGCAAGGCAGTGGCAGGATTGAGAACAGAGGTCCCCTCCAGGTCCCCGGCTCCTTCCTCCTCGCCCACCACAGCCCCAGTTTCTCCCTCCCACCTCCTATCCCTCCCTTCTTCCCTCCCCTACCTACTGTCTAGACTCTAGAGTGACAGCCAAGGGCCTGGGGGAGCTGGGGGGAGCTGGGCAGGGCAGGAGGGCAGGAGTCCTCCAGGTCCGAGGACGGCTCTCCAGCCCCACCCTGATGCCGGTTCTGTTGTCCCCAGGCTGGTGGTGGCGGTGGAGGAGGCCTTCATCCACATCCAGCGGCTCCAGGCGGAGGAGCAGCAGAAGGCCCCGGGGGAGGTGATGGACCCCAGGGAGGCCGCCCAGGCCATCTTCCCGTCCATGGCCCGGGCCCTGCAGAAGTACCTGCGCACCACGCGGCAGCAGCACTACCACAGCATGGAGAGCATCCTGCAGCACCTGGCCTTCTGCATCGCCCACAGCATGACCCCGAAGGTGCGCCTCGCCCAGCCCCGGCCCGCACTCGGGTGTGACCGGGAGGGACCAAATCCGAGGCTTCTTCGAAGCACCACTGATGGGGATGAGTGAGGCCCACCCGTTTTCTGGTCTTTGGGGGCAGCTGGCTTCTGGATGTGCCTCTGAAGGCCCCTAGAGTCGAGCAGAGGAACGATTCCACGTAGAGACAGTACAGGTAGTGGTGAGGGGTCCTCGGTGGGTTCTGGAGCCAGGAGCCCATTCTCACCTGCTCCTCCACTAACGGCTGCAACACCTTGAGCCAGCCGCTGAACGGCTCTGTGCCTCAGTTTCCTGTTCTGCAAATTGGGGATAATACTGATATCCCCTTCATTGGGTGGTTGTGAGAAATAAAGGAGTGCATTCGTGTGGCGAGCTCAGAACAGTGCCTGTTGTGTGGTAAGAACGCAGTAAATGGCTGTTATTATCAGAGGCAGAAATGAGGCCAGCCCTTTGTTAGGCTTTCGGATGTTGTGGAGTTCATGTTACTGAATGGCCTTTGGGATCATGATGTGAGCACACTTTTAGGAAACAGTCGTGTAGCTCGTGGAGGCAGGTGGCCAGGGAGACAAGATGGAGTCAGGGTTTGGCAAACGACCTCTCTCCAGACAGACGTGGGTCAAGTCCCAGTCCCACCGCTCATTGGTTTGTGACTTCGCGTAAGTGACTCTACACGCGTTTCCTCTTTTATGAACTGGGTGTGGTAACCGTACCCACCTGATAGGATTGTTGTGTGAGGATTATATTAAATGTGGCAGCGTGACACGGGGTAAGGGATCCTGGCCTAGAGCACACGTGGGACGCTCGGAGCTATTGGTATCGGCCTGAGGACCTGTGTTCCCACACCGTCCTGTACGCACACGAACTGCTGGTTACATTCTCACTAACCAGTGACAACCTCAGGAAAGCAGACGTTCCGGGAAAGGACCATAGGTCTGCAGATTCTTTGACTCGCCTAGAAAACGTAGTCAGCACAATCACACATATCCATGAATATACTTGTACATGCAGGTGATTTGCAAAGTAGTCTGTCCTAACTCCAAACAAAATGACTTAAAAGTAGAGCAGCACTTAAAGATTGTGGCATCTCCAACCCCTGTTGGATGTGGGCGACTCTCTGTTAGAATATTAGGCTCCAGAAGGGGGAATGCAGAGCAGTGTGGGCGGCGTGTCTCCGCGTGCACAGTGAGGCTGGGCCCCACGGAAGCAGGCCTTTCGCTTCCTGTAGGATTTTGTAGTTTCCCACTTGATTTCTTTTTCATTTCAAAAGTATTTACTTTTATGAATTAGTAATAATAATATTTGTATAAAAGTCTAAACATTAAAGAATAGAATAATGTACAAAGTGAAGTTTTATTCCCCTAGGGCCGTCGTCAGCAAACCGCGGCTCGCGAGCCACATGTGGCTCTTTGGCCTCTTCAGTGTGGCTCTTCCACAAAATACCCCGTGTGGGCATGCACGTACAGTGTGATTGAAACTTCATGGCCCATGCGGAGAAAGTCGTTATTTTGTGGAAGAGACACACTGAAGGGGCCAAAGAGCCGCATGTGGCTCATGAGTCTCGGTTTGCCAAGCTACAGTTTGCCAACCACTGCCCTAGGGCAAACAGTTCTTCCTGATAGCGTGGGGGGGGGGCGGGGTGCGTGTGTGTGTGTGTGTGTGTGTTCCAAAATCTGAACCTAGTGGTCAGGGAAGGACGGTCAGTATGTGTGATATAAAATGGAGTAGGGTGTGTGTGTGTGTGTGTGTGTGTGTGTGTGTGTGTGACTGTGTTTAAAGCAGAAATTAGGGGTGGGGGACAAATGGTATCCTATATACATATAGTCTGGAAACATGCTTTCTTCCTTAAAGCTCTCGGGCTGTCTTTCGATGTCAGGACTTCCCGATCTCTGTCCTACACATGGGACTCTCTCTCTAACAGCTGCACTGCCTTCCATGGAATCCTGTGATTCGCGTAACTGATTGCCCAATGGTGCACTCTCAGATGGAGCTCTTTTGAGAGTCTGACCCGGGGCTGGGCCCTTCCGTTCCTCGGTATGATCGGAACGCAGCCATGCCCCCTTATTACATATCTCCCGTGGCTGCTTTCTCTCCGCGAGGCCGAGCTGAGTGGTGGTGACAGAGCGGGGCTTGCAAAGCCGAGAACATGTACATTCAGAGAACAGTGTGCCAGCCCCTGGCCTGCACAGTGCCGACGTGACTGTCCCCTTGGCACGGGTTTCCGTGCTTGCGTGCTGGTGTTCCTGAAGGACGCGTTCCTCGCGGAGGAGGCGCTCGGTCACAGGCCGTCCTTCCGAGGCATGAGGCAGTGTTACACTCGCCTCTGGGATCCTTGGATCTGGGGGCGGGGGGGAGCACGCTGCCTCTTCCCCCCACACTTGGCAGCGTCGGGGTCACTGCTCTTTTTACTCCCTGCCCACCTAAGAGAAGGAAAAAGATTTCTTACTATTTGAATTCATATTTGTAGAAATTCTTCATGTGACAGGACGTCTTTCATAGGTTTATGTTCTGTTCATTCTCCTCTAAGTTGTCTTACTGACTTCATTTCTCTGATTGTTGAATTGTTTCTTTTTCGTGTGGTTCCTAAGAGCTCTTGTCATATCAGACCAGTGTTTGTGCCAGAGGCTCAGCTCTGCTTAGAACAGGTGCTCGCAGCGCTGAGATCAGGACCTGAGGCAGCAGCGAGGCGGGTGCTGGGGACCCCTTACCGCCTGTGTCCCGACCAGAGTGACACATCCCAGCGTTTTCTATGTCTCGCCGGCTCATCCGTTCTCATAGCCAAGTCAGGGTATTGATGGATGTGATACATGTGCTGTGAGCTCAGGTGTGTGCTGGGTACAATGGGAAACCAGTGCCTGTCCCCCAGGACAGGAGAGTCCCATGTGGGGCCGAGACCCCAAGTCAGCAATTAATTGTCCCAAAAGGGAAAGCTGCCCGGGCGTCCAGCAGTGATCCCAGGCGTTCAGGGCGTGCTCATCTGTCCTGGAGGCCCAGGAGGTGGTTGGAGAAGACTTAAAGGGCCAGGGGGGCATTTAAAGATGACATTCAGCAGACAGAGTGATACTGTGGAGGTGGGGGGAAGTGGGGGCAGAGAATCCAAGGAGCTGGCGCCAGGAGGTGTGAGGGGAGGTGGGGCCTGGCCAGCCCTCAGACTTGCTGTGCACCCCCTCTCCCCCATCGCTGGCGTTGATTGGCAACATTGATCGTAGTCACCTCCTGCCATGAGATGGTTAGTTGCCCACTTTGTCCTCACAGCAGGCCTGTGAGTTAGGTGCTGTCATCCCCACTTTCAGAGCTTAGGTGACTGCCCCAGTCCCACAGCCAGCCGGCGGGAGAGCAGGTGTCTGTGTGCGCAGGTCGATCCCTACAGGTGTGCAGCTCATGTTCTGGAGTGTTCTCTGTGCCCTGCCCTGCTGAGCGCCCAGTGTGGGAGGAGGCAGACCCACAGGCAGGGCCTGTGCGGTGGGGCTGTGCGCGGACGGCGGTGCCCCGGCCAGGGCTGCCCTCGGACCAGGCGGCTCTCCCTAACAGCCTCCTCCTCTGTTCCAGGCCTTCCTAGAGCGTTACCTCCGCGCGGGCCCCACGCTGCAGTACGACAAGGAGCGCTGGCTGTCCACGCAGTGGAGACTGGTCAGTGACGAGGCCGTGACGAACGGGCTGCGGGACGGACTCGTCTTCGTCCTGAAGTGCCTGGACTTCGGCCTGGTGGTCACTGTGAAGAAGATCCCCTTCATCGCGCTCTCGGAGGAGTTCGTAGACCCCAAGTCGCACAAGTTTGTCCTCCGCCTGCAGTCGGAGACATCGGTGTAAAAGTCCTGCGTTTGCGGCTTTTTTCCAAGAAAAGAACAGGGAGGGCGATCCGCGTGCACGGAGGGCCACCTGGTGTGTGTGACGTTCATTGCCGAGACTGGCCGGCGCTGGACCAGCGGCCTGACCTGCACTTTATTTGGAAGGAAGACGAGGTGTCGCCCTGGAAATCCGTGCGGGGGACACCGGACTGGCGGATGGCACTTCTCAAGAGGCCGTCCCCCGGCGTTCCTGTGGCAGCTGTAACCAAAGCCGAGCGGGCGGCTCTGGGAGCCTCGCCTTACAGCTCCGTCCGCGCGTCTCCGGCGCCACACCCTCCACAGCTCCCAGGGGACGCGTCTTTATCCTGGTTCCGGAAGCCAGACGTGTGTGTGTGTGTGTGTGTGTGTGTGTGTGCGTGTGTATGTGCGCAAAGGTCCAGGTCCACTCCCCCCACAGCCAGGGGCTGTTCCTTGTTGCCTTAGGCTCCACCGAGCGAGATCACAACAGAAAATGTGCACTAATGATTCGATTGGATCTTTCTTTTCCCAAAGAGAAAACCAGGCCGCTCTGTTTCTGATCCTGTTTCCCTACGGGCCAGAGCAGGTAGCCTTTGCTCACTCTGTGATGGGCACCTGTCTTCACCCATCCGCCCTCGTGCACACGCACACACACACACACACACACACACACCACCCACCCCAGCTGGCAGGTCCAGCCCGGGAAGCCCAACCTTCAGAGCTGCCAGGGACCTGGCCCTGCCCGTGTGCCTCAGGCGCTCCCACGGATTGTTGGCGTAGAGAAGCATGGATTGCCGCCCCCTCTCCCCCCAGGTAGATCGCCAGGAGGGCAAGCCAGCTGGAATGTCCCTTAGAACCCCTCCCCGGCTCCCCACCCACCGGGGAGGACTGCCACTGTGACGGACTGGCAGCTTCAGCGTGGACCCTCTAACGTCCAGGGAGTGCCTGCCAGGGGAGACCAGGCTATGCCACCGCGGTGACAGCTGCTGCTGCTGCCCAGCCCCTGATTTCTGACCACCGTCACTGTGCATCCCACTCCAGCCCTCTGCTGCTCACTCCCGGGAAGGGCTGGTCGGCCCCTGGTGTTGACCTGGCTTGTAGAGTTTGGTCGAGAGAGAAGGAAAGGTGCCCTGGCTAGTGTGGCTCAGTTGGTTGAGCATCGTCCCATGCACCAAGAGGTCTCTGGTTTCATTCCTGAGGGCATGGGGGATAGGGGGGAGGGGCTGCAGAGTGTAGAGAAAGGGGAGTGGGGGCCAACCTTAGGGTCCGTGATCAGCTTCTTAAATGCGGCTGGTTCCAGGGGCTTTCCCGGCAGAGGCCTGTGCAGGGGCTCGGGGGGAGCCACACGGGTTCTCCGTGCCTCCCTCTGCCTCCTGTATCCACTACACACCTTTACCAAGTGCTCCCTCGTGCTCTCCCGGGCACATAGGGCCCCGTCCGCTCGCTTCAGTGTGTTCCCACACCCCCCGCCCTGGTGGTTATGTGTCCACGGGTGGCACAGGATTCGTGTGTCGTCCTTTAAATCAGAGTCGGCTTTGGATATTTGTACCCGAAAAAGGAAACGGTGTTCTTGAACGAACAGCCTTCAGGTCAAAAGGAAGACGTGCTGGGAAAGAAGGAAGGGAAGCCAGTCGGCCTGGCGTGGGGCCGAGGTGCACTGTGTCACCGCACGGTTCCACTGCTGGAACCCACCCCCGTAACCATGGTGCTTCCGTCCTCTTAGTGTTTGCCTGTAGGTCCCTTCAAGCCGGACATTCCTTAGGGTGATGTCTTTCTCAGGAATATGTTTCGGGAGATGGTGAATGTCTATGACTTTGGCTGCGTGAAGGTTACAGCGTCCGAGGCTGCTGCGTCGGGGGCACAGCGGTGGACACGCCCTCCATGTCCCTGCACGTGGTTCACGGTGACGCTGCCCGCCAGCGTCCCCAGGGCCCAGGCTTCCAGCCCTGTCTGCAGTTGCCAGCCCTGGAGGGGTCACGTCGGATTGGCTGCTTCGGCGCCTGCACCCCCGCAGGTGAAGAAAGGTTAATATATTTCCTCTCTACCCGTTTCTCTCTCCCTCAGCCTTGTCAGACCTTCTGAAATTACTGTTTCTGTTTTAAGTTGAATACTGATTTTTTTTTACACTGACTTTGTACGAACCCGTTTTTGAAAGAATACCAAAATAAAACGCAGGGTCTCTGGACACAGACTTGGCACATTCAAACCCTTAATAGCAGGGACAGTGTCCATGGCGTTAACACACTGAAGAGCCGCACCCCGCCCTGGAACACAGTGCGTCTTTATTTTAGTTCCTGGAACCAGTCGGCTGTTCTTCTTAAAAGGGGGTGTTCTGTGCCCTGGGGCTGGTCGCCTATAGATACATCCACATTAGAGAAGACAGATTTCATTTGCCTTAACTGTCTATAGATTTTTCTATAACTTTCAACCGAAGGTATTACAATGTGGACGTTAATTGCTAAAGCGCAGGAGGTAATGAGCGCCTGCCCGAGACCGCTGTCTCCCTGGCGGTGTCTCAGCCAGTAGATAACTTTTGTCCTGAAGCGTGTCCTTTCGAAGGTAATGGCCATGTTTAATCGCCCGTGACCTGAATGTCGAAGTCTGCGTGCTCGGAGGTGGAAGGGATGGTAAGGTGTGGTCGTTCATCCATCCTTTGCATTAGCAGTTAAGTCGAAGCACAGAATGCTTTCGCTCAGGTTCATCAAGCAAGCCCTCGAGAAAGTGCTTGGCCAGCGAGCTGCCCGGCCATTACCACCTCCCTTCCTCCCTCTCTCCTCTTGAAATCTACCGACAGGACAGGTCCCATACCACGGGCGGTAAGAGGTAGATGGCCCCTGTGGGTGTGTGCACATGTGTGTTTTGTGTGTATGTGCCTGTGTATGTGTGTGCCTGTGTGATGTGTGTGTGTGCCTGTGTGTGTTGTGTGTGTGCGCACATGCCTGTGTTTGTGTGTTGTGTGTGTGTGTGCATGTGCCTGTGTTTGTGTGTTGTGTGTGTGTGCACGTGCCTGTGTGTGTGTTGTGAGTGGCTTGTTGCCCGAGCTTGGACCTCCTTTTCCATCGGGAGAGTGTGGCTGTGCTGCCGAGTGTAGGAAAGGGATGAGGTGCCCGTGGAGTCCTCTGTCTTGCATCTCAGCTTCCCCTCTGAGTGCACGTGTTAGATGTGGATATGGCTCAGTGGGGAGCTACGTGCCTTTCAGGTTGGCAGAACGCGATCACCCTGCCCCTCCCCATGCCTGCTCCTGGGAGAGTGTCCCAGCCACTCAGTGAGACCAGCAAATCAGGCCTGGGGTTGGCTCTTCTCCCCGGGCCCTGCTGTGTCAGGCCCTCTCAGCAGAGACACACATCCTGTGTGGCTGGATGTTTCCATGCACATGAGCCTTTCTCAGCGTGTGTGTTAGCACGTAGATGGCATGTTTGCATGTTAGGCACCTGCACATCTGTGTTGTCTGGCAGATGGTATGTGTCTTCGTAGGTAACTTGTTTGTGTGTTTCTATGAATGAGCGTGTGAGGTGCATGTGCTTCTACACAGGCCGTGTGTTCAAGAGATTTCCTAATAGCACCCATGGTTGGGAGGGTGCTGCATAGCCAGGGACCCCTCCCTCCCTCCTGTGCCCCTTTCCCTCCGTCACACCAGCTCCTCCCAGGAGTGAGCGGCGTTGGCACTGAGCTGTCTCCTGCAGGGCCCGCCCCCCTGCAGGCCAGTCCATGGGACCTTGTTCAGGCCCATCTGACCTGACAGCAGAGAGAAAGGTCAAGTTCTGTGGCAATTACTCTTCCACCTCCATGACCCTGGAAGCCTTACTGTATGTTTCCCAATACAGCCGAAAAACTGAGCATCATCAAAAAAAGGAGCTGGAACCCTGAGGGTAGCACAGAACGTTGGCACAATATTTAAACAGTCCTGCCGCAGCGACCCTGCGATTGTAATGTGATGCTGTATTTCTGGGTAGCGTTTATGCCTTCTGCATCTTGTTACAAAAAATAAATCACTACTGTGAACGTACTACCCTGTAACCTTGCGGTCATGTTCCGTCCCACGTAAATGCGAGTTGTTCTTGAGCCCAGAGCACAGCCCTTGCCCGGGATTCAGTGCTAGTGTCTCTGAGGGACAGGGTGTGCCTGGCATCCTGGTCATTTTGAATCCCGCGTCCCAGTGAACTCATGTTACATGTTATATTTTTTATTCTGAAAACTTGGAAAATAAGCAGAAATCCTAAGTGGAATTTTGTTTCTCTTTCTCATCTAAAGAGTTTTAGGGGACATTTTCACTCTTGCATGATTTAGATACCTTATTAGAGATAATCTGTCAAGTTTCTGTGAAAACTAAGTCAATTAGGGTAGATTGAATGGGCAAGTAGAATCGCCATTGCATTTAACAAACACACACACACACGCACACACGCACGCACACACACACACCTGGTTGCGTGCATTTTATGGCCAAGAAAATATTCTAAATGAATAGACTACTGGAAATTAAAATCTTAGGCTCTAAAACCTGGAGATGAAACAGGCTTTTCTGAGTAAATCCATAAATGGAAAAAAGATCTTTGAGTCAAGAGTGAGAAGTGTCATAGGCTGGATTCGTACGCTGGTAGCGGTGGTGGTGGTGGTGGTGAATATTGGATTGTTTTTGCGAGTGGCTTGGTATTTCAGTCTAAATTGGTGATTTATTTTAGCTAGCTCTATTTAAAGGGAGCTTGATTATTTGACAAATGGATTTTCACTCCACTGTCTCTTTACCTGTGCGGAGCGCCGACAGCTCGCACATTCTTATCTGTTCATGGACAGGAGTGAGAGAAAGCAATTGGTGTGAACATGCTCATGGTATAGATCATCGATAAGCTGTTTCTCTGGGCCGTCGGCCAAGATGTGCACCATTTATATCCTCAGGAACAAACGCTACTGGAGAAACGATGAAAGCTGTGTGCGGACATAAGCCAGAGATTCCGTTCTTTCCCATCCACTCCCCATGGTGCAGCCGTAGAACGTGGCAGAGAGTCTCAGTGAGAAACTACCAGGTAGATGGACGTGGAGTGACGGGTATCAAGATGGCATCAGGCAGAGCCAGTGCCAGAGGCAGGCCAGAGGCAGGGGCGTGGGCACAGCAGTGTCTCTGCTTGAGGGGAAACTCCGTAATTCCTTGTTGGTGTCAAAGTGTCACGCAGGCATCTTCTCATTACATGGGCTGCTGTTGACATCAGACAAGCAAAGCGATGTTGGACTCTTGGGTATGTTGTCTGTATCTATATCTGATCTTATTACGGTGGTTCTGAGAATTCATATTCCAGACAAAATGATGATGCATTTGTGGAAATGACACGAGGTGCTTTGAACATTTTTCCAGTTCCAGCTTCTTGCTCATGGAAATGATTGTGCGTTCTTGATAACACAAGTGAATAATTTTTTCCTAATAGGATGACCTTGCCGTTCTAATGATCTGACATCCCCCGTACTGTTTAAATGGATCATCGCCTCCGAAATGAACGGAGAAGGGGTCTC